CGTTGCTTGCCATTTGGACTGATTTGATCAAATGGCAATATTTGCCACGTGTGACGTCACCGCTCGTTCGGGAGTGATCGGGGGCGTACTCGGCAAACTTCGGAACCAACATCGGTTTTTAACGTATATGTCATTTAATTATGACCAAACTTTAAACATTTTTATTTATTTTTATTCTGGTGATATCTAAACTACATGTTAAAAAACACCTGTGTTAGATGCATTACATGGCCTTTAACTGTAGTGAGAAAAGAGTGGTGCAGTGAGTCCTAAACCCTAAAAGCATTTGCCGCTTCCTGTCCCCATGCACGAAGTCAATGGTTTTTAAACGTGTTTTATGGTGAAATAAGGTACGTGGAAAAAAGATTTTTCACGTTTTGTTTGACGACATAAAACACGCCAGTAGATACTCAACTCTGTAATGTCCGAAGCATCTATGTGTCATAACAATAGCTAAGAAGTGGCTAAATGAGAATACTAAATGTCATAACGCCGACACGATTCCGCCTTTAGCTTAGTGGTGGTGAGGCGCAGCCATTACATTAGCTTTTTATTTCTGCATTTACGCTTCAAAACAAAATGGTGTTAATATGTGGAGATTGTCCTGCTGAACAAAACGTTGTTGGCATCATAAATGTGTGATGCTAAATTCCAGGTCCGGCTTACAAAAATATATCAACACTGCACCGCTCTATTATGTAAGTAGGAGTAGTTCTGTGGTTTGTGATGGTGCACATTTCTTGTTTAATGCAATCCTTCTCAGTATCCACTGTCTACAGGTGCCTGATGGACAGCTGAAAAACTGAGCTATTCAAATAAGATGGTTTGCCAGATTCTGGGAATTAGTATAATATATTCCAAGCAATGCTATGAGCAGCAACAGTGATACAATTATTCTGTATACTGCAAGATGCTCATGTAACTATAATTCAATGTTGGAATAAGGGTTAAACTGAATATTAAAGCAAAAAACTGTATTGTATCAAAGGTTTTGTATGAAATAATATAGTAAACTGTAAAACACATACAAATGTAAGGATAGTTATATATGTGTTCAAGTTTATCTTGAAAAAAAATCAGCTGCCATATGTACACTGTAAAATATAGTGGAAAAGATACACAGTTTAAATTGAGTAAATACAAAATCTTTCTTAAACCACTTTATTTAGCCCCCCCATCTCTTTACATGTTGTCACAGTAGGAGAGGGAAAATATTACACAAACATGTAACTTTAAAATACTGTAGATATGGCTTAAAGTATTTTTCTAATGCAGCCTTAAAAACTCTTAATATATCCTTTTAGACAATAAGAAGAAGGACAAATACCGAGGGTGGAAAATCAAAGAATAAACACATGAAAATGACCAAAGAAAAACATCATATTAGCAGTTGAAATATACTGACATTGTGCTTGTGGCAGAAGTTGACCGCCTGCAGAGTCTGCCACACGATGCTCTTCAGCTGAGCCTCTGGAACCCTGCAGAGGACCAGAGACAAACAAAACCTATTTACCAGTCATGATTTCCTTGTCTATTATAAAATAAAATACAAGAAGTGTGGCTTTACGCACCCTCTTGTCACCCGGGTAACCTTAGGCCTGTCTCTAACGGCAACAGCGCCTTTGTTTTCAGGAGCAGCTAGAGTTTCTGCTGCACTGCCTTGTGAGAAGGGAATGGTCCGACAGCCACTAACCATTTGTCTTGCTGTGTGACTTCACATGACTAAACTAAACATGATAATCCCTCAAAAAGAAGGCCCACATATACAAACTATATAGATACTCCAATGAAACTGAAAGTAATGTAGAAAGAAGTATCATCAGCATAGTGTAAAACATATCAAAAGTAAAAGTTCTAATGTTGAAACTTTTAGTGTTACATTTATATACTGAACAAGAGAATTGATGATAATCACTGATGCGTTAATAAGTAGGCAGCACTTTAACATTGTAGCGGGTCAAGTGCTTATGTTAACCAATTTATATACATCGGAGTTGTTTTAACTTGTAGAAATTGCTAAATTATCTAAGATGTAGTGAAGTAGAAAGTAGACCTGTTTCCCTTACCCTCGAGGGTGTTTGTCCAGCTCGTTGAGGACTGTCTGCTCGCAGAACTCGAACACCAAGTGGAGCCGTCTTTTCCTCCTGAACACCTCCAGCAGGTTGACCAGATTCACGTGTTTCAGCTGCTGCAGGACCAACAGATAACAAGGACATTGTGTCAGAACTCACCATCATACTGAACAACATACAACCTATTAAGGATCTTGAGTCTGGCCAAAATGTTGCATCAGAATTGCCTCCAAATTTGTACTCTTTGTTTAATTCAGTCTCTTAAAGCTTGTTTCCCATCCCTTTAAAGTTGAAATGTCTGTATAGCTCTTTGGAACAACAAGTATACATACCTGTGTCGGACACATTCCTTACAATAGTGGATTAGCATCATATAACCTAAAGAGTGCATATGAACCGGTGTGCGTGCAAGTGTCAACGTGTGGTTTTAAATGTAAGCCAACTTGATACTATTGGGTGTTACTAATCTTGTGTCACCTTCAGCATGCGGATTTCTCGCAGTGCAATCTTCTTAATGACAGGATCATCTTCGGATTCCACAAACTTCTTGATGGCAACTATCTGGCCCGTGTCTCTGTGTCTGCATTTGAACACCACGCCGTAAGAACCCTCGCCGATTTTGGCCAGCTTTTCATATTTCTCCATTTTCTAGTCACCTGTCAAAAAATGTAACATTTATCACAAGCTCAGCACCTCATTGAGATGTAAAAGATTCACCTTAAAATATCAAAGACACCTAAGACATATTTTTTAAGCACTGGTCTATTTTGATAGTTTGGGTTTATTTGATCCATTTGTGTCAGATTTCTCCTAAATGTCTTCAGTCAGTCAACAAAGTGAACAACTATTTTTTAAACTGACTTTATCGAATGTTTGGATTTATATCACATTAGCACGTATTTATAAGAAAACAATTAATTAATCTAGTAATTTACAATATAACTGCCTAAATGTACAATTACCTTGAGAAGTTTAAAGGAGGAATCTCTAAGGTGAAGTGTACCCTAACCTTTCCATGTGTTCTACTTTAAAACCTCAGAATAGTGAGTAAATTAATAACTTTTTCAATATGAATATATAAAGCCAAGGTAAAAGAAACAAGAAAACAAAGTTAGTTGACGTTATATATAAAATAATAGCCCTCCCTTGAATTACCCATGTATATCGTTGTTGGTGAAAGATCAAACATTATCATTAAAATAGTAACAAAAAGCATAGAATAGAAATTCAGATTATTTCATTTCTCAGGGTATACATTTAACATCATGTAGGGGCTGAAATAATAATACACTACCAGAAAATGAAAAGCAAGAGTAAAAAAGGAATGTCTGGTTTTATTCTAGAAATGCATATTATTGGTTAGCTGAACTAATTAAAGTCAATTGGTGGTTGGTATAACTTTTTATAATCTGCTAGTCAAATATTCCTTAACTTTGATTTGGATTGTTGATCATAAACAATACTTGAGAGATTCGGACTCAGCCAATTCCATAATTAAACACCGATTATCCATGAATTGTGTGACTTAATGGTTGTTCTTTCTACCCATTTGACAGAAGTTGGGAGAAGTAGTCATATACTTAAGTAAAAGTAGAAGTACTAGAGTGTAGGAATACTCTGTTACAAGTAAAAGTCCTACATTCAAAATGTTACTAAATAAAATCACACAAGTATTATCATCAAAATATACTTAAAGTACCAAAAGTAAAATAAGTCATTGTGCAGATTGGTCCATTTCAGAATAATATATATGTTAATAATGATTGATCATTAAAGTGTTCTCAAAGCTGGTAAAGGTGCATCTAGTTTGAATGACTTTGTATACTGCAGGGTAGCTTGTGAATTTACTCCAGGTGGAACTAAAGTCTGATTTAAGAGTAGATCATACTGTTTATCATCAATCTAAATCTGCAAAGTAGGCTAACTAAAGGTACTGCATAGGCTAAATGTAGTGGAGTAACATTACAATATTTACTTCTGAATTGTAGTGGAGTAGAAGTACAAAGTAGTTCTACTGAAGTGCAGTACTTGAGTAAATGTACTTAGTTACTTAAGCCCACTGATATTACCCCAGTCCTGAAGACGTGTGTTTTGTAGACAAACACAACTCATGATGCCGACCCTAAACCGCCGTCAGTGTCCCACTCACCTGTCCGCAGTGAACTCGCCAGCC